GGGAACAGTGTTCAAATTGACTTCTAACAAGTGCAAGGTATAAATTTCTTCTTCGTCTCTCATCTTGGACAAATGAGCAAGTGCGTTTCAGCAGCCCAAATTTTTGGTTAGCTTTGGACAATATTTTAGTTATGTGTTCTTCAAAACGAAAGCCCTGATTTATAACGACTCCAAGATCTGTTTCCGTACTGGTGTAATCTAAGGGAGTATTACCGAGCAAATATTGAAATCTGATAAATGGAATAGGTAATATCCTACTGCTGAATTTCTTTCCAGGAATAGAGAGGACTTTACACTTTGATGGATGGAATCGCATCTTATTTTCTATGCTCCAAGAATTAAGTTCATTTATGTTATTCTGAAGTGTGCAATAATCGTTGTATGATTTAATAGGACTCCATATTTTCGTGTCATCAGCATAAAGTACCAAATTTGTGCCTGAACTTAATCTCATGGGAAGATCGTTTATGAATAAGACAAATAGAATGGGACCTAGGACGGAGCCTTGAGGAACTCCAGACAAAACAGGTTTGATCTCTGAATGTCTACCATCAACTAAAACACATTGTTCCCGTTCACTAAGATAGTTGGTTAGGAATTTGAGTAGCCTTCCTTCAATATTAAAGACGAGTTTAAGTTTCTTAAGAATAAGATCATGATTTACAGAATCAAAGGCTTTAGCAAAATCAAAGTAAATGATGTCTACACTTATAGTCGAACAGTCATTGAGGGATAGCGTGACACTGTCAATAAAGTTAATCATATTTGTGGTACAAGATCTGTCTCCAAGAAATCCATGCTGTCTATCATCAAGAAGATGCATTGTTTTATTCAAGAGTTCCTGTTTAATAAGGCGTTCAAATGTTTTCATTATAAGACTAGTTAGGGAAATCGGCCGATAATTCTCAATGTCCTCCTTACTACCCTTCTTGTGAACCGGAACTACGTGAGCCAGCTTCCATTCAGTTGGAATAATACCGGAGTTATATGATATCTCAAATAAAATTGAAAGTGGGCAAGCGAGACTACCAGCACAGTTCTTCAGTATCTTACCATGGATACCGTCAGGGCCGCAAGCTTTGTTAGAATTAATGTTCCTTAAGAGATGTTTTATATTCTCTGCACAGAAAGTTAAGTCGAATTCAGTATCACTTCTCCAATCAATATCAATATCATACTTAGATTCGTCAGAAAATTGTTCTGAGAAATACTGATTGAACATATTTGCTTTGTCTAATGGAGATTCTCTGTATGTTTCTCTAAGGTACATCCTATCCGGTATTCTTGAATTCTTTGAAGAGGATTTTACATGCGACCAGAATTTCTTTGAGATCAATGCAGGGTCATCATCGTTATATAGATTATCGTTCATCTTCTGATCAGATAGATTTTTGAACTGTGTTCTTAGTGAGCAAAACTTAAAATAATCCTTTTGTTGGCCGGTTAGTTTCCACTTTTCATGAGCTCTTTTTTTCTTCAAGTATGCCTCATGGGCCTCTGAGTCAAACCAGGGATTTCTATATGCTAACTTTAAAGTAATAGTTGGGATATGCTTTGAGATACTTTTCGATATTACAGACTTTAAGGCAAGCCAACAATATTCAGGATCTCCTAGCTTTAAAAACATAGCATTCCAGTCAATAGAATTCAAGTCTTCGTTAATGGCCGTCCAGTTTGCCTTCTTAAAGTTGAGAATCTTTCTTTTAGGACATTTAGAATAAGTGATTTTTGTAGCAACTTTAAAAGCTATTGGATAATGGTCAGATTTGCAAGCACCGTGACCCTTCAATACCGTAAGATCTCTTACTAAATTTTTACAATTACTCAAAAGAAGGTCTAGTATGTTACCCTTAACATGTGTAGGACTACTTATACATTGATCTAGATCAAAGTTATGGAATGTTGTAATGAAGTCCTCTTCAATTAAACTAGAAGGTGTAACAATTCCGTCCTCAGAAAACCAATCTACTCCATTGAGATTAAAATCACCAACGATGAAAAGTTTTTTAGGGCGTTTGCTTGAGTAGAAAGACTTGATTGTACTGGCAATACTTTCATGGTTTACTGTTCCTAAAGTTCCGACTCTGTAAACCACACAAAAAATGTATTTACTTTCACCTATGTTTATTTCAATAGCGGCCATTTCGGACCCCTTACGTACAGACAGTCTTTTGATTTCAGCTTGAATATCAGATCTGATTGCTATCAAGACTCCTCCACCATTTTTCCTATATTTTTTCGGATTGTTATCATCAGGTGGATGTGATACTTTTGAGCGATCATTTCTAAATACTTCATAGTTAGAGCTTTGAATGACCTCTCTATCCATTACAGAGTTTTTAAGCCAAGTCTCTGTAAGCAGAATAACGTCAGGATGTGAATCTTCAATATGTGCATTAAGTTCATATATTTTGGATTTATCAAGATGAGGTTGCTTACTGTTAAGTTGAGAAAACGGTATCAAGCCTTGAACATTCTGATAATAGACTGATATGTGATTAGGGCCGGGATTAAGCATACTAGGGTTTGATATTGCAATAAGCAAGAAGTTTAAGGTCAATAGAAGTAAAATCGACATACTCAGAACTTGCCTAGATGTGCTAGTTACTGCACCAAACACTATATTAGCGGCAGTCAGCCTTTCAACTCGGTATCTCCGACTGAGTCTTTGGTACTGAGTAAAGATGAAGTTCTTAATTGCAAAACCAAAGATATACAGGTATGCACAATTAATATGAGACACAAGTGGGAAGGCCTTACTGGTATTAAAGTAGAATCTACTGGGATGAATAAACCTATCAATCTCATTGGACTCTTTCGAGCTTGTTAAAATCATACCAATTAGACAAAACATGATGAACAAGTGCAGAACATAGATACCAATGTTAGATGGTCTAGAATTGAAGATAAGTGCATCTTCAAATATCCTAGTCCTGATATCCGATCCAAACCTAACCCCCCTACCCCAAGCAGAACTATCCACTTGACAGGAATTCTTTGGTGCTCTAGAATTACAAAAGCAGCCGATTCGCATCCTGTAAAGTGTTAGATCGATCATTGTCAAAAATTTAATTCAAATGTAATTTAAAATATGCATACAGCCTACCAGTGTGAACCATTGGGTTGCACCCTGGCAATTAAAAATCATTTGTGTTAATGAAAACATATTTCAAAATTGTTCAACCCTGAATTGACTCCATTACCGCAGCACAGTAGGTATCAAATTTTTAATTGAATTGCGGTTTAGAAACCAAGAGGATTGAACCATTTTGAATGAATAATAAATATGTAGAATCTTGCAAGAACACCCATGCCTTTATTATTTGGGTGAATATCAAAACGCTGTTTCTTAGTGTCAAAATGCGGGAAAAGTCTCGTGTTGATGCAGCCCCTAGCATCCAAGAAAGCAGGAAAGATATCTAAGAAATAATGCCTATACCGGGAGCACATATTGTAAATCAGATTGTTCATTCGAATAACATTTCTCTCAGTAAATTTACAACCATTAGGATTAATTGGAGGAACAGATTGAAACCATACTTTTGCAGTTGGAAGTATCAACTTTATGGAACTCATTAAACTAGATACCGCACTTTTAAGATGTGCTATTCCATTATCACAGTACCGTATATCATTAGTACCAACAGACACAAATAATTTAACAACTTCTAAATTAGGGTTATCTTTCACGAATTTCTCGATATCTCTCTTGACCTTATCAAGTTTACTGCCTCCAACGGCGATGTTCTTAACTACTTGCTTATTCTTTCCTAACAATTTTTCATCTAATCTAGCAGCAAAAGAGTCCCCAGCAACAAGAACAATCTTCTGCTTTTTCGTGACTTGTTCATTGACTTGGGATAAATCCACTTGATCCTCTTCAGGAGGTTTAATCTTACGGAACGAGAGACTAAAACGTACTTGTTCATTTTCACCGACAACATTACCAGAATAAACTGCATGTCTCATTTTAGATTGAGCACCAGGTTTCATAATGTTCATGGTTTTATCAGTGGCTCGTAGCACATGATCAGGACTATCGCTGTTTTTATTACTATCAAGAACGATTGAAAGTTCTCGTGGTGCACCTAGTGAAACAGTACAAATTGAGCTAGTCTGAGATATGAGTGGCTCGTTATCACGATGGAGTCGGAGAGTAGACTTGCTCGATGCATAACGAGTTATCAGGCAGGAGTCCATATCACCAGATGTTGAAGGGTGATTGTTAACCACTTCCATGAGCTTGCAAAAATTGGGGTAATCGTTTATAGGAATTGGTTTGTTCATAACATGACCATAGTTATAAGAATGAGTGGTCGGACTAAGCCACTGAGTAGTGACTGGACGACCCCTCTGTTTTCAGTTAAGAGAGTCAAGCTCTTTTCGGAGGTCATCACAAAGGGTTTTGTCCAAGTTAAGGTCGTTAACATGTTCAACAAGGGATACACTGTCATCAGACGAGGCAGTAGATTCTGCAGCAGATTCAGAAGCAACGTCGAGGGTTAGGGCTTCCAACATTGCACGTTTTTCAGCTAGAGTGGCTGTTTTGAGAAGATCGACGAACACTTTGGGTAATTCTTGCATTGTTTGTCGAAGTAGGACGCCAGGTGATCAAGGGGCAGATCAGGAGTACAGCAGTGTCGGCAGGACAACTATCAGTGATCAGAGACCTGGGAAATAAAAGGGCCGAGCAGATCATGTAAATAAAAGGATCAATGACAAAAGAATGAGAGTGAAGGGAGATCTATGTAGAGTAATAGTTAGTAATGAAAACTATCAATCAAAATGTAAGTGAGCTAGAAAATTGGAAATTGAATAAATGAAGTTAGAAAACTGACCTTGTTAAGATTTCAGAGATGTCCCAGCCAAGCTGGGACAGAGAATAAAAGACTGCCGTACACCGCTACACTGCCTCACTACCCCCGTCTCAACCCGGGACACCGGCTGACTTTACTCCAGCGACATTCTGTCCACGAGTGGACCCATCGTCTTAGCCATGCCTCAAATTATTTGTTATATAGTAGTGTTGAAAGTATTAAACGGATAAATAATGCATAGGTTTAATATCATCCTTGCTTAATGCAGTGGCGTAACGTTGCCTGTTCATGGCACCCCCCGCCGAAAAAGCGCCCCACTGTTGGCGCCCCCTCCCCTTTTGGTGCCCTCCCTAAAATTGAACAAATTAGTTGATTTTAGAGGATACGCCGGTAAAATCTCTAAAAAAGTGTGCATCTATGACTATAGCAAAACGCGCAGTTTTGCTAGTATTGTAGTTAAGTTTTCGAAATTGTCCCACATTAAAACGACAATTCGGCGCCCCCTAAGACGGCGCCCCCTAAGACGGCGCCCCCTAAGACGGCGCCCCCAGACCCCCCCCCCCCCCCCCCGTAAGGTTACCAGGTTATGGGTTAAGGTGTATAGAAAATCCTGGTTTTTCTACGCACGCCGAGTGCCGACGTGAAGAATTAGATGCCAACTAAAGTGTGCCAACTATGGTGTTATTCATATGGTGGGTCAGCTGCATGGTCTATTCTCGTTCAGTTAACTGAATCAAGGCAGTAAGGTAGTACCGTCATGAAAAGTCGGGGTGAGAGCGGGATTTGAACCAACGACCTTATGGTATTAGTATTAATGAAATCCATTTCCGATTAAATTGTATATCCACACGATTCAATAAGGCGGGTTTTATTGACACAAAGTAGGTAACTTGTAAAATTAAAATTGGTCGCGGAATTCGGCAACGCAATTTTGTTGAGTACATTAATTACCAACTTACCATAACAGTAGCTTAGAAGCGCGGGGTAACGCTAAAGTCACAAACCACTGCAGGTTTCATTAATTTTCCCGAATAGTTGTTCTTATAGTTAATGGTATTATGCCAGCTCCTCGGCAGGAACGGTTCCCCACTACATGCATCATGCATTCTTCCGGTCTACTATATCGCAGTGCTCAGCTATTTTAGTTATTATAGTGTCCTTGTTAATATTGTGGTTACGTTATATTGTTCTGGTGTTACTGAATATTGATAAGCAAGTATTACAAATTAAGTGCCGAAACGGTAGGTTATCTTTCGTTATATATTATCTTTGGTTTTTTCTTTCATGAAAAACAGAGGGGTACGAGGAAAGGGCTTATGAAAATGTAACCTTAATTTTAATAATCTTCTTCGGCTATTCCTTCAAGTGCACTGCTGTTATATTCGTTGCCAATCTCTTAATCTAACGCTGCAGGTTATAATTTTCATAGCAAAATAAATAAATAGCAACAGTTTAGTTTTGCAGCCAGATCTTGGTTTAATCTTGTCGAATTTAAACTATTGAAGAGGTCTTTAAACTTTTGGTAGTTATACCATTCAATTTTATTCCTTCAACTGAACTGCCATCAACTTCTACTGCTAGTATTTTCTGACAGAATTTACCTCCCTCCACTACAGTACCTTTTATAACTGGATATTATTAAACAAAGAAGTGTTCCCAGAACCAATACTAATTTTAAATTTCAAGTATACAATCTGTAGAATGTACTATTACAAGTGTACAATCTGTCGAATGTACTATTTATCAATATCTTATTCTCATTCTGACGCTCATTTAATTTTTCATTTTCATAGCAGAATTAATAAATACTAGGTAATCAATTAACAATAACAATCAATTTGCAGCAGCTTTTACAAGACATGACCCGGATCTTGATTAATTGAATTTGTCGAATTTGAAGAGCTCTCTTAATCTTATTTAGTCAATTCATTAAATTTTAAAGATCGACTCCAAATTTATAACAAAAATCTTCCAACGGCCATTCGAAGTGCATTCTATATGAATATCTCTCTAGACGGATTTTCTTTAAATAGCTCTAGATTTCGTAAATTGTGTACCATACTTTAATTAACCTGAGGACTTCAGGCCAGAGGCCTCTCACTTTGCTGAAGCTTCAATTGGTAATTCTCGGAAATATAGGCTGCAGCGCCCTCCAGTTATAATTGAGGGAATCAGTACCGATAATACCCATTTTTATTAAGTTATGTTGCCATCATGTCTGCCAGCTTTCAGGAGCCATAAATCAAGCAGCCATTGATTAAATTAAACTGATAAATTCCCACTAAAACAATTCCCATAGACATGATTGGGTGTTACTAGTATCAGATGTTACAATTTACAAGGTTTAGAGCGAGTATATGGTTAGATGGTTCCCGCGAAATCTCAGGGGTTACTTTCAGGGACACACCTCGAGGATAGGAGTAGGAGTAAATTATAGTTCACCAGCTAGTTAACAGCTAAACTAGCTGGTGAACTATAATTTAAGGGGGATGATACTATATTATGTAATGGATTTCGGAGATATCAATATGCGTTAGGTTATTAACCGGTACGTGAAGTGCTGAGATCTGCTAAATCAATCTTAAGTGCACAAAGTGTTTAAGGAGAAATTAGTTTGACGGTTGGATAAGTCTCCACGAAACTAGCTGGTAAGCTACAATTTGGAGAATGATATTATTATAGTATACTCAAGCAAGTTGTCGGAAATTATCGCGCGTAGCACTCAGAATCCAAGGTATTATTGGATTTTATTGAAGATCGGATTTTACTCTTTATATTAACTTGGAACTGGATCTGTAGGAGAGAAGGCTTGATAATTTTTATTCATTTGTTCACATGTGACGTACAAAACCTAATCGTTTTGACCAATAGAGACTATATACAAATATTTATATTTTATAAACAATGATAATAACCACGTATTATTTGATCTGTCAAGAAATGATATTTGGCTATTGAGGAGTGAGGACCCCACGTAAATTTCAAAACATCGAGAACCCACCGATTTCGTACAAATCAGGCAATATGGAAATACCCAAAACGGGCGTTTTGTGATTTAGCAAAAATCACATTTTTTTTCTGTTTCGAAATTTTTCGAGTTTGACCAAAATCAGGTTTTTGAAGGGCAAATAATTCGATGAGCTTTATTTTCGGAGCACCCCTAAACCGGGATAACTTTTGAGCAATTATTATTAGTTATTTACTATTATTATTATCAACTATTATTAGTTATTTATATAGCTATTTACTATTGCTGTAGCATCTTCTATATTGGAACACTTTTTATGTCAATTACCAGATCTCTCGAGAGGTTTATTACGAAATTCTCCCATAGAACTGCATTACGATAGGTGATAAGATTAAATGATAATCTTTGATTGATATCGTTAAGTAGTTTGTGAATAAAACTGTAGAAGCCGCCGTTGATTAAATTAATCACGTTTAAAAGTCTGGAGTTTGGGGGTGTGAAGTCTGGGAATATGGGGTTTCACCATGGTCATTGCTGATACAGGGTGGCCCAGAAGTAATCGCCCACACGCAACCCTTTAATAACTCACGTAATTCTTTTTAGAATTGCACAGAAATTTCAGAAATAATAGATATGGGTCAAACTTAGATTTCCCTGAAAGTTTCGTCAAATTCAACTAATTCCAGTGGGTGTGACACGCCACTCCCTCTTTTTATTATTGTCACCATAAAGTGAGAACGCTTTCAGCTAAGAACTTCAAAGTTTCTAGACACATTTTGCTTGATAATTGAACTATTGAAGTCTGCTTTCCCAAAATTTCAAGTTGGTTGTTCACAATTTGACCGAGTTATGACCCTTTAAAGATCTTGCAGATACGTGATACGTATCTTCACTCAGCTTATTATTCAATATTTTTATTGTAAAAATAATAATTCGGATTCCAGAAATTGAGAACAGTGGCGTCGTCAGTGGGTGTAGAACACTTTCACCATCTCCCACTTCCTCGTTTGTCACACACAATCAGCAATTAATTGGAAATTTTGTGACGCAAAATTTGCATGCCCCGATAAAAAGTGACCGTTAAACTTGCTGTCTAGTCACTTTATGCTTTAAAAAAGAAACTTCGTAAACCTATGTCTAGTAAATTACTGTCCAAAATTAGGTAATCCACCTGAACTTAAAGATCTTTGCCGTATGTAAAGTAGGGCAGAGTTTACTTCCCCTTAAAAGTAAGACATGCAAACACATTCACTCAACCGTCTTTTACAATGTTTATATCTCTATAAGTATAACATACTATAAGCTTATAAGACTATACTTCAATCATTCTGACGCAACATTTCACACGCATTGAAGGTTTAGACTTAGGTACTTGTATTGTCATTAATAACATGCCGCTGCCAATTCGATCAGAAAATTAACCTGGAACTGTTCGAGCATGAGATTTGTCTGATCGATTTCAACTTAATATGACAAGCAACCTTTGATTTTAAACCACATTGAGGTCGAATTACAAGACAATGTCTATTATCCACCCAGAAATAAGCATTTAGGGCCGTATTTTAATTGACCAATCTTTAGGTCATACTTAAACAGCAGTTTAAGGAGGAGGTTGCACTTAAAAATAAGTTTAACTGCAAATTCTCTATTAAGTGTCACTCTTAATTTTTAAGGGTGAAACTCAGTTTGACATTATAGATCAACCATTCTGACGCACTATTTCACAAGGACCATGACTTTAAATAAGGGCTTTGTATATCTCGGGAAGGGTACAATTTGGACAGCTTTAGTGAAGGTTTAGACTTTGAAACTCGTAACTAATATTGCTCTCTCTGGTGATGAGACTGGGAGACCATTTGATTCGAGTTAATATTATGGACTTTCTTAACTTGTGACTAATTTCTTCCTGATTTTTGTGAGCCCCATCACAATTAAATTATGATTGCGACTAATCGTTTATTTCCGGTTCATGTCCTTAGCCTTGCTCTAAAATATGGATAATGGATAGCACACATAAAAATGGTTGATACCGTTGGTTTATAATCCAACGGATGGTCCTAAAATTTAGGAGAATACAGATTTCTGGCCCTTTCGTCCTGAGATCATATTGTATAATAGCAGAGTAAAAGTACGACTAGATCCTTGATATAATATTGTGAGTAGCCGAATTATAATTGCTGCAACAGATACTAATTGGACGACAGTTTAGACGGAAGCGGAGTTTTAGGATCCAGGAAAACTGGCTTG